CATTATTATCAAAACATATTTTTCAAAATTATGTTCCAATCATCGTTGTTGATTTGTCACACCAGGACGATAACGTTAAATCATCGACCGTGGACCTACGAATTGAATTTGAAACTGATACAATTATTCCAGAAAAAACTGCAGCTTATTGTTTAATACTACATGATCAGATTATAACTTATAATCCCTTTAGCGGAGATGTTAGAAAGTTGTAAACCTTATATATAACTCTATTTTAGACCTTATAATTATTTTTATACCTTGTAAATATTGTATACCTTGTAATTAGTAACTTATTTTCTAATAAATGAGAAAACTTGATTTTAAATATCACGCTTGTTTTTATTTTACATAGAATTATTTAAACAATATCATTCAAAAAAGAGTTTGCGTTTTGCGTTCCGTTTTTTCGTGGGCTTGCCGCCTAGAATAGATGGCGAGTGGTTGAAATATGATGGATCGTCAACAGCAGGGCTCGTTGGTGGACTGCTAGTCTATACAAATAATAATTTGTTAATATATAAGTATAAATTATATGACGTGTATATTACCTTCGGCTTGGTTGGTGCCCACGTCGCCTGCGTAGGGTTGATTTGGGTTAAAAATTCATCGATAAAATTCTCCTCGTCAGCTGCCTAAATAATTATTATAATTATTAATTGTATTATTTTTCAATATATATAAGTTATAATTTACCCTTGCTTGTGAGCAGTCTTCAGAGTCATAAAGCAATGGCGACATGGCTGAGTATCTTGGAGGCGAAATGAGTCTAACCTCGGATTCAGTGAACAACTATAAAATAATAATTATACATTAAATATTTTTACAAGCGATATAAATTAAAGGTTAAATTACGTCGGTATTTTCCGCTCTCCATCTCCATTTTTCAGCTAATTGACTTGTTGCATTTATTTTGAGTTGACTGATGAAATCCATGTCTTCTTTAGGATTGGATTCAATAATTTTATCGTCGCTTAACTCTTTGAGGGGCGAAAATTTCCTTTAGAAAAAAGACCCATGTGGGCAATATGTCTCTTTACCATAACATTTAGTACGTATATCAAAATATTGATAATGATAATAAATGATGAAAAACGCGAGAAATGATATCAGACCAGCGGCAGTGATATTGTTTGATGCATGTATAAGATGATAATAAGGTGATTGGTATGCTGACCATCATCAAAAAAATATTAAAAATAATTTTAAAAGTGGTTAAAATAGTAACCACCGCACCTGAACGGTAAAAAAAAAAGTGGTTAGCATACTAACCACGGCCCCTCAAAGAGTTAAATTTTTGATAAAAACGAACATTTCTTCATTTGTTTTTTCAACTTTGGTAAATTCCTGGTCTAAATAATTAGCAATAGTCTCAAACTGCTTTAAGACGACTGGTCGTATGATGATTGACTTTCGAACGACTGTTTCGAAAATACACCGCTCCAAATATTGCAACTTTATTAGGTCCACGCGATTCAACAGTACTCGGCACCCGACTTGTGTTTTTGATTCGATGACAAGCATATTTTCCCCTTGATACACCATACTAGACAGCGAAATAATTTCGGTTTCCAGAAATAATCGCTTCTTATATTTTGGTGGATCCAAAATAAACGACAATATATTTCCCATCAGAGAGAATATACGTCTTAAAAAATCGGCTGGCATATTTACATACCGCGATGGTGTGATTATTTGGATAACGATATTGAATTCGTCTGTAGGATCAAGTCCTACATTCAAAAACTTACGGGCGACGAAGTCAAGTGTAAAATTACTGCAGTCGATGAGGTCCGCAGGCGGTGTCGGAGGAACGTACGTATAATTCTTCTTTTTGTATAGGGCATCGTTGTTGGTGAAAGAATCAGCCATGTTTAAAATTATTTTTAAACACTTTTAGATAAACTGTTTTAAAAAAAAAAAATCTTAGAGAGCAAGAAAAATATACGTGTACACTGGTTTAACGCAGTAGACGGACTAAATACAAGTGCCAGTTGTTTCAGTCCATTGCCTGGAAATTAAATAGGAGGAAAAAATGTTTCAATATTAAGAGGGAGTTGTATACTCGCTAAGTATCTACAACATCCTGGCGACGACCAAGACATTAATAATGATGTATGTACGTATATACGTATGTACCTAAACTATATAATAATATATTTGAATGTGAGTGCTATCTTCCAATGCATAACGTATGCTTTAACGATTTATTTATTCGTATGTGATTATATAATAGGAAAACTGTATACCTATTATTTTTAGATAGGTATGTGATATGTTGTATCTTATAATATAATATATGAATATGTATGTATGCATGTAAGTGTGTATGTAAGTAGGTATGTATGATATATGTATGCGCAAATGCTTAAACGTTTGATGGGTTTAGAGTCGAGATGAAGGAATATATACAAATAATACATAATATATAATATATATATATATATATTTATACGTTTAAAGGCCATTGTGGTAACTGATAACTGATAACGTAGATATGATAACACACCGGCAGGCTCGAGTGTGTTCGCGGCGGCCCTTGGCAAGGTATAGTGTTGGTGGTGGGAGAAATTAGAATTCACGTACGTATGCGACTGATTGTCGTAAACACCTATTAAATGAGATAAAATATTATTTCTTTTTAGTATAGTATGTGAATAGGTGGCTCGGTGGTACGGTGGCCGCTCAACAAGAGGGGGGGGGGTCCGGGCTTGAATCCTGGTTCGGCACTTAAATTTTTAGTTTATTTTTCCCGGGCTGTTTAGGGGTGGCGGCGGATGAGGTGGTTGTTATAATATACGTCACGTACGTAGCGAATCGGGCGGCGGCGGCAGAGGAGGATGCAGGGATGCGGATGCGGCTGCAGAACTGTATATTTTATACTACTATAATAATAATTAATAAGTTATTAATCATCTCTATATTTAACATTTTCATCAGATGGACTACAATAACTTGAAACAGTAATTGAGAAAGTATGCTGAATGGACAACGCGGATCACAGTTCCAGTTCACTATGAAAATTCGCAATACAATACAAAACACATAAATTATGTACAATGTAATGGATCTAAATAAAAATACAAATAAGCTTATAAGTGGTTAATTTTTATAATTATCTTAAAAATGGTTAAATATATGAACAATAAATGATTAAAATTACTATTACCTATCATCACAATTATGTTAGAAATATTAATATTTTGTTGTAAACATAATAATCATTTACAATATACAAGTACCACTATATATTATGATTATAGTATGATTGTATTATGATTGAGATCAATAAACCATCGCATACATTCATTTCTTTAAAACACTATACTCGCGCCGGTGAGAGAACACTTCTCGTTGGCGCATCCAAATGACGGAGCTCCGAGGTTTCGTATCCAAATTTCTCCCACTCTACCACCTAGTCGCCACCGTAAATTCTCCCACTCAATACACGTGACCAGGGGCCCAATTCTTGAAATCATACGACTAATTCTCGCGTGCGACAAGAGTCATACATTTTATCGACTGTGACAAATGTTTATCGCATGCGACATGTAATTGGCATTCTTGAACTGAAATCGATAAGATTATTTCACTTGTCGAATGCGATAAATAAATCGGACGAATCTCTATGGTAACAACATAAAATCTACATTTTAACCTCAAACAAATTATAAAACATAAAATATTTAATTTTTATCTTTTATCAGCAAAGTTTTATCAACGAAAATTCGAAAATCAACGATTTTTACATTAATTCATAATTTTATAATTGTTCAAGGGAAATTCAAGTGCCAGTACAAAATCAAACTGAACAGGAATTAGAGATACGAGCCAACGAAGTGATTGCTCGGTGAGTTTCGATTGTACAGGTACCCCAAGTTGAACCAGAACAACTAAACCAACCACTCACGTATGGCGACATTGAAAAACCAGAAAGTCTGAACTCAGAACAACAAGTCGAGCTGTTGGACATACTAAATAAATATAGAACATGCTTCGCAACTTCAATTGATGAACTTGGTTGTACTAACATATTGATGATTGATATCACCCTGAAACCTGGTAGTGTACCGTATGCCGCCAAACCGTACCGTGTGTCTCGGGAAGAGCGAGTAGAGATCCGACGGCATATACAAACATGGAGAGAACCTGGCATTGTTGAAGTTAAAACGTCTCCCCATGCCGCACCTGTACTACAAGTCCGCAAGAAAAACGGTGAATCTCGGCTAGTAGTAGACTACCATAAATTAAATGATCAGACCGTGAAGCAAGTATATCCACTACCCAATATCGATGACTTACTAAAAGTAGTGTCGGGAAGCCAAATGTTAAAGGTGTTGGATTTGGCACATGGATATCTGCAGATTCCGCTGGCGGAGTCAGCAAGACCGTGAACTGGATTCATTACTCCGGATGGTACAGGGCAGTTTACACGGATGGTGTTTGGCCTAAAGAACGCGCCATTCTAATTTGCAAAAGTGATGGATCGCACTATTGGATCTTTAAAGAACAAGGTAGTTCTAAATTATTTTGATGATTATTTTATACCCGCCAAGGATTGGCCAGAGATGAAATAACGACTACACCACGTACTAAAGGCATTTACAGATGCGAAACTGACATTAAGACCTAGTAAGTGCACGTTTGCAGCAAAAAGCATTGAATTTTTGGGGTACGTATTATCAGCTGATGGCCTCCGTCCAGGGCCCACCAAACTACGAGCGATAAGAGAATTTCCTGCCCCACAGAACGAGCATGACGTGCGCCGGTTCATGCGACTTGGGAACTTCTTCCGTCGCTTCGTACAAAAGTTTTCTGAAAAGGCTAGAGCCATCACCTACCCGACCAGAAAAGGAGTAGCATTTCAATGGAGTGAAACGGAAAAACAAGCATTTGAACAAATCAAATGAAGTTTGCTCAACGAACCTGTTCTGGCCCTATTTGATGCTACTCACCCAACTGAATAACACACGGACGCTTCCTGTCTGTGACTAGCAGGAATGCTGTTACAGGAAGATGACTCCGGTAAATTACGCCTAGTACACTGTTTCAGTAAGAAGACTAATGAAACCGAAATGGTAACAGACTGCCAAGCGTTAGTCTATATGAATGGCCTGAAAACGTCTAACTCACAAATCACCCGATGGTTCGACCTGATGCAGGAGTTTGATGTAGAAGTCAGACACCGAGCTGGTACAGCAATGGCTCATGTAGATGCACTGAGCAGAGCCCCCACTGAGAACAGTACGGACACAATGGATGAGATTATAGCTAACCACCTAGAAGTATTCACAACTCTCACTGAGGAACAGTATGTCAAGAGTATGCAGTATAGTGATTCTGAAATTATGGGTATAATAAATTACTAGAGGGATCTACACCGAGTAAGTTACTACTTAATAATTATAATGTAATAAACGGAGTGTTGTGTAGGCGAGTACAGCTGGACCTTGGCAACTCTGGATGGAGCCTAAATGCACCAGGAAAAGCTTGGCGATCAAGTTCCATGACCTCAGTGGTCACTTAGCAGTTGACAGAACTTATGCCAAAATTACAGAACGGTATAACTTCCCACGGATGTGGAGGTGCACATAGGAATGTGTCCTGAGTGTGCCCTATACAAGAAGTCACGAGGGAGGCAAGCTGGTATGCTGCACCCAATCAGTCCAGGTGAACGTCCGTTCGAGACAATAAATATTGATCATCTGGGACCATTCCCGAAGAGTACCAAAGGAAATGCGTACATTCTGGTATTGGTTGACAACCTAACTAAATTTGTTAAACTGTATGCATCTAAGACAGTACAATCCATAGTAGTTGTAAATCAACTGAAGGTTTTCGCTCTAAGCTATGGATTACCCAAAAGAATTATTACAGATAGAGGTACATTATTTCAATCAGAACAATTCTGGCAGTACTGCAAGGCTAACGGGATCCAGCACCACCCATTAGCTGTACGACATCCACTTGCAAACGGGCAAGCAGAGCGACCTAACTCCACTGTGCTATCAGCAATATCAACTAGCATGAATACCGAAGCCACTTGGGATAAACAACTGGATGAACTAGAGTTGATGCTGAACACTTCAATAAATCAGACTATTAGAGTTAGTCCTGTCTATGCATTATATGGATTTGATGCAGTGATTCGAGATGGTATACTGGATACACTCACTACACTAACTCCAGCATATCAACAACCGGCAGAAATTCAGCAACAAATACGCAAAGATATAGCAGAAAAGCAAGCCCAGTGGAAGGAACGGCATGACAAACACCGTAAAAACCAAACTTTATGCATAGGGGAAATTGTCTATTTACGACGACCCCCGGTATCCACCGGTACCTCAACTAATTTGCAGCCCAAGTACCGAAGACCAATGATAGCGACTGCTGTATGAGCTGGTGACACTTATAAGATTGCAGATTTACATCATGCAGGAAAACAATTAGGTATATGCTACTACAGCACACATAAGTACCCTGAAGCGCTTCGCTACGGACCAGGGAGAAGACAGTGAGACAGATCAATCCGACCAAGATGGGCAAGACAGTGACGGTACGGAAAAAGCAAGCAGTAACCACAACGATGGCCGAGCCAGTGAGGTCAAACTCTTTGGCACCATCTGCAGCGGACACTAAATCTAGTTATAGGACCTCCAGTCGCAAGATTAAGAGACCTGTCTATTTAAAAGATTATACTTATTAATATGTTTCTAAATTACCTATGTATGTTTTGTTACTTTGTTGATTTCTTTTATTTACTTGTATATTTATATATTATAATAATATTTACATTATGTGTTTTGGGCCGCGGGCCGGGACGGCCAACAGTGCCAGGAAGGCTGAATTATTATAAATTAAGTTTAGTTAAGAAATTATGTTACTAAAGAAAATTAATATTGATAGTTGGACAAACTTATAAACTGAAGAATTTCAAAAATAAATATAATTTCTTAAATGTTTGATAACGTATGCGATTATCATGCGACTAAACTTTGTCACCGGCTTTTTACCAGTCGACAAATAGTCGAATGTTTTTTGTTCGACTAAAGTCACACCACAATTCAAGAATACCAAATATTTATTTTCATGCGATAAAAATGTTATTGCATGCGACTAAGTCTATCACGATTTCAAGAATTGGCCCCCAGCGGTGGTGACGGCGTCCGCGACGGTCGACGGTGGCGGCAGCCAGAGTTGACGGCGGTCAGCGTTCGGAAAGGTTTAGTGGCGAGATCGGACGAATTTTGGTCGCCGTCCAAAAGCGTTCTCTCTCGCGAATATACCGATTACAGCCCCCTTTACAACTTAAATTTATTTGAGATCAAATTATTAAAAATCTAATTAGGTCTAATTTACTTCAAAAAAAGAATGTAATAAAAGGATTTATTTGGTAGTTATAATAATCTTACCTATACGCTCAACATTTTTCTTAGACATCGCTATTAAAATATAAAAAAATATATAGACATTGTTAGGCAGTTACTAACACAGTGGCCAAATTGCAATGTTGGGTGCTAATGAAAATAATATTTACTGCGTATTCAGTGTAATCACATGAGGACTTTATCCGGTCATTGTTGAAGGAAAGACATTTTTGGAATTAATTTAATTGATTTGAATAACTAAGTATAACAATATTTTCTATTATTTCTTAGTCGTAATTGCTAACCCAGTATAAAATATGTCTCTGATATGACTACAATCGAACCTGTCATATTGTCTATTAATATGTTTGGTCGTAACTTACTATAATCTTCTTATTAATTGTGATTATTTGGTTTTTTTTTTTTTTAGTTTTTGTCAGTGCTCAATTATCTAGATCTCTTAGGACCCAGACTATTGTTATTGATTTTCTTTTGTAACGTTGTCCTCTCATTTATCTATTTCATAAGTTATTTCTAAAGGCTTTAGCAGTATATACCTATTTATCTCATTGCTATTTTCTCTGTTATTAGAACTATCTTTAAAATTAACGTTTTTCATCAAAATGTTCAATTGAATTGCAATTAACCTCAATATTTATGCTTGTTGAGGCAAGTTTTTCAAATTAACTCAATACCCTCCCGCATCCCTTTTACTGTAAATTATTTAGTGGAATATTTTTGTTAATAATTCAAAACTTGAATGAGTCGTTATACGAATATACCAATTACCGTGGATCCTTATTACACAAGTTAAATAACTCTATTTAAAATTTATCGTATGTATTTTGATTTAGAAAAATTATCCACTAAAGAATTTACAGTTGAAAAATGGGCTTCTTATTTGAAAAAACAGAGTTTGAGTATAAAATTATATAATATTTTTACTTTCCTGAGGAACAGAGATAATATTCTTTCTCCATAGGATACTGCAGGATAACAGTGATAGAATGTTTTGAAAGTGAAATTTTTGTAAAACAACTTCTTATGCTTAAATTAAGACTACGAACAACGTGTATTGTATGTTTCTGATCTTCAATGTCAATTTTTATCTACAATTTGACATTGAAGCTATAATGGACCAAATTATCATAATATTATAATTTTAAAAATTTCACACAGAATAAAATATTACATTTTAATAAAAAAAAAAGTATATAGTTAATATAGTTATACGTACCATGGTTTTTATCTAAAAGAAATTATAATAATAATTAATAAGTTGTTAACTATAATTTATAACTACATGAAACTTAATTCATTATATTGAATATAACGCATTTTTTTAATTAATTGCTTTTTTGATGAGTTGTAGTTCGAAAAAACCAATTACCATGAAAGTTTTATCCTTATAACATAAAGTAGTTAAATAACTTTACTATTTATAACTAATTGTAAGTATTTTAATTCAGAAAATATATCCAATGAATAAATTAGTTAAAAAGGAGGTTCTCATTTTAAAAAAAAAAAACAGAGGTTTGTATCTCTACAGGACAATGCTTGAGTAATACAAAATAAACCAAGGATTTGAAAATAATGTTATTTAACTATTTAAGTATAATAAAAAATTCCAAAAATCCCAATTTAGATGACTACATTATTGAAGAAAAAAAAGGAATTTGCACTGGGCATGATTGGTGAGTCATGCTGTATACGTAGTACTCATATATGCGGGAATATTTTTTAATTAATATGGGTCAGACCATATATTATCAGACATAACCGAGGACATAATCTTATATAATACATAATATATAGTCATCTGGCTGTGAAAAGTAAAAACCATGAGCTCAAAAATCTTTGTAAAATTGTAGATATTACACCTTTTTGTAACATATTATTATAAAAAATAATCCAAAACATTCAATGAACTAAGAATTATACAAAATACCGTTATCTACTAAAGTCTTAAAGTGAATGTAATGAGCTGGGAAAGCACTTAAACGTATCATATGAAAATTTAAAAAATTAAATAAATTGAGATACATGAATTAATTGTTTTGTGTAAGCTTCTCAGAGTAGGAAAAAAAATCAAAATACTGTAAACTTGATATAAGAATAACTTATGACAATGGAATGGACAAGATTTATCTTGGAACAGAAATATGGCGTATAGTTTAGTAATCACGCAATCTTTTGGAGTTAGTATATTACTAATAAATATATTAATAAATATTTTTTTGTGCTATCCTCAAATATCCAAATACTTATGTGTTATTAAAATATGTGAAATTAAAAAAGGTTAAATTTACTTTTAAGATCATAAAAGAAAATCCTCATATGCTACACTTATATCGAATATTCTTCAAAATTAGAATGTATTAACATTAAGTATTTGTTAATTACAATTTTTTTACCATATTTTATATGACCTCCATTTAAATAAGCTATAACATTTTAAAATGATTAAAACACATTTTTATAAAACAATGCTTGAGTAGGTATCATAAATTGATTAGTGGAAAGTTTCACCAATCTCTTATGATCCAATCATTTACAACTTCATCTCACTATACACTTTACATATTGTATTTTTAAGATACTTTCCTAATAGTGTTACGTGCTTCCTCTTTCAGGGATCCAGAAAGATAATGCTTTGAAATAAGTTGGTAGTAAAATTAGAACAGTAAATGTATGTTTGTTTATTTAGAACAGAATAAATGTATATATCATTGTATGTCGTGCAGAATATGGCCAAGTATGCCCTCCTAAGCCAAAAGGCAGTGTGTACGCACCATCACGGAGCTATCGACATGATCTCTCTAGCTGGCCGTGCGGTACTTGGGACGTACGGGAAGAATCGGGATTGGTAAATTGAGTCCCAAATGATCCTAACTCGGTAAATTGAGTCCCGGGGAAAAACAGGTAGTAGGTAAGTTGAGTCCCGGAAAAAATAAGGTAGTAGGTAAGTTGAGTCCCGGGGAAAAACGATTTTTAAATAA